GCGTCAGAAATACCATGCCTTAATAATTAAAACTATTGTACTCTTAATAATTGTCAATTATTGATGAAACTCGTTCAAAAGTGTGTTAAAACACATTTTAAGCCATTCACATTTTTTCTTCAAAAATTAGAATAAAAAATTTCAACATGTCAGAACTCCCGAAATTTATAAAGAATTCTGGACTCTATCTAGATTAACTCTCGATCTGTTAAAAATTTGTTGTGCTATCAAACATTTTTGTAGTTGTGTTAGTGAACTTATGGCAAATAAAAATCACACTTCATTTGTGAGATCACATAAAACAGCTGTTATTTGTAGGGTCATCTTGCTACTCTTGAGAAATATCTAGAGTATTATAAATTAATTTTGAGTGTTTTACATTTCGCTTGAGATTATGACACAGGGATTGTGTAGTAACTGGTATTCGAACCTGCTTCCTCATTTGAAGGATAGTTCTAAAATAAGTTTTCCTTTTAACTTTTTATCATATATTTGGTTTTTTTTTTTTTTACTTTTATTGGGTTTTCTTTTCTTCTGTAAAGGAAACATAGATCTCCAAAAAAACTCGTTGAACCCTGCATGTAGGTGCGCAGTATCTTAATCCGTGAGCAATACTTTGAAGCGGATGTCACCTTGAATTAAAACATGCTTTGCATAATTATGAACGTGGACTTACTGTTGCAATTCCTTTGTCAACTTTCTACACTTTCCTATATTCCCTTTAGCCAATGACCCAAAACTTACCCAACATTTGTGTCGGTAGCTGAAACACAATAACAAGCAAAACGTGGCAACCGCAAAGTGGGTTGGCTGACAATTGTGCGGCAGAGCGCTAGTTTCCTTGTTAATTGATGCGTATGTGTATTTCGAACTGTTTGCAGTGGTATCTGTGAAAGTATCTATGTGAATATGTGTGTGAATCTGTTACTGTGTAGAGGTTGCGCTCATTTTGCTTTATTACAACAAAGCACGCTAATTAATTACGACGTAAATTGTCGTTATGCGAATAATGAGTGCACTCGTACCATTCAGAAATGTCAATGTTGAGGTAAAACTGGCACCCAGTCAGTTTGGAGAGCCGGCAATAAAGCAGGCAGCATATCAAATAGATTAAAGGAAAAATGCGGTGTGGGCAGGCACTTGTGATGTGTTTAAGTTCAGCAAATAAAGATGGAGTCGCATACATTTCGAATCTGATTGTTTTACATGGTGAGTGCAAACAAATCGTGACTGTGAATGATTCTAATTGAAAAGAGCCCAGAGAAAAATGCATTCCAATTAAAATTGTTTTGCGATTGTTCGCAATCTACAAATGCTTATTGCAATGTCTTAAGTTCTTTGCCCAAAGTTCTTTTGCGTCTGCTTAATTACGATAGTGAGTAAAATTTAGCAAACTCAATACAGCCCGCAGCCTAAAACTAAAATAAAAGAATTCTCATAAATTCAATGAAATAGTAAAATTTTATGTTGTATACTTAACTCAAGTTTTAAAGATACAACAACTGTTCTCTCGTTATTGCAACAAGAATTGAGCTGCTAAAATTCTCAACCTCAATTGGTACATGTGGTGCATGTGCTGGTACAAACGGTCGAGAATGAATTCTATTTAAAGTTTGAGTTTCAGCAAGAAGAAAGCAGTGCTGGCATCCCTACTCGAAAACTACTTACATGTCCCTAACGCCATCTAAGCATGTGATCATAATTTGTTGCACTGGTTTTCCTCTGCATATTTTTGGCATAAACAACAACAATAATGGCTAGGAGAAAAAGAGTACTAACCCACCGACAACAGTAACGGCTATAGCAACAAGAAGTGCTGCAGGAATAACAAACCAGGGCAGTAGCATCCGCAATTGCAAACTTTGAAGATACACTCACATGTTGCTCTGATGATTTTGTCATAAAGAAAAGTGGATGCCGTAGAAACACAAGTGGGAAAGTTTTAATTAATGTTCATGGTCGCATATTGCTGCACTTAAACATGGTGCAGATTGCATCGTGGTTAATATTTAAGCACTCGAATTGTTGTTAAAAGTGTTCCTGAAGCACAAAAATGGCAATTGTACGAGAAACTGTTCCGCTATTCTGCAATTCTGAAGGAAAACCAAATTAAGGCTAGCAAATTTTCATACCAAATACACTTCCTTACGCCATTCTTATGTTTAATTAAAGGAGGTTAAAAAACTGTTGCTGATATACCAGTAATTGCTAAGAAATATTACAAAGGAATTAAACACAAAATACATATTTAATGAAATAGTTTATAGATTACAGAATACGGTTATACTTATGACTGCACAAATAAACTAAAGATTTAATGAAAAATAGAGCAAAAGTATATTGCGTATATATTGAGTTCTTCGAGGATTTTGCTTATCAAAAAATTGGCAATTTTTAAACGACAGCTGTAAAAGTTTCGACTTCATCAGATGTTTGGATAGCCTTTTGCAAATGATTGAAATGGTGCACCTTGTTGATTGAATATCGTTCCGTAATAAAATTCCAATTTGGGAATGGATTCTGTTTACGGCAACCTTGCACCATCGTTAATATAAAATAATAGATACCTGAAATTAAACGTGGTTGTACCAGTATTTTCGATGAAAAACATCCGGGCTGCCTAAAAAAGATCTCAACTAAAAAGAACATTGAAAAAATCCGCGTTATTACGTTAGATGATCCAAAAATTAAATTGCTTTAAATACCAGAGATGACAAATATACCATATGAAAGTGTATCTAATATTTGACATAAAAAATTTTAGTATGAAAAAGCCTTCGGCAAGATGGGTTGCGCGTATGCTCACAATTGACCGAAAACGACAACCACTTCGTCATTCATTATCCACACATTGTTTAAAATTTTTTATGTATAAACTAACTCACTATGAGCGTCGAATCGTGAAAATTGATAAAACATGGATCTATTACTTCGCACCTAAGGGAAACCAATAACCCGGGCGTAGATAGAACGGCACACTTCAATAAAGACCATGGCAAAATGAAATAAATTACTGTACGAATTGGTTCATCACCTTCCGTATTCTCTAGATTTGGCTCCCAGTCTCAATTACCTGTTTCCTGATTGGAAAAGATGGCTTCAGGAAAAGAGATTCCCATTAAATGAAGAATTGGAATGGGAAACTGGGGTATATTTTGGAAGACTTGATAAATCGTAATATTTAAAAGGTATCCATATATTAAAAGATCGCTGAACCTGATGTGTCGAGCTAGAAAGGGAAATAAAATATGGTTTTTAAAAAAAAAAATGTGTTTTTATTACTTAGGTCAGGTATTTATCAAGCCAATGAATAAGTAATGCTTGAAGTTTATTTTTTCTTTTATCTATTGTTAGTATTAGAGGCCCTTGCGTTTTACCCCTTATGAGTATATATTTTCTCTTGTTAAGCACTTACAACTATTAGTTTGTAAGTTAGCCTTAAATTTATAATTTGACAATAAATCACAATCACCAGAGTTTTTTACATATGTTACATCCAGTCAAATTATTTATACACTCCTTTTACTAAAAGTATAAAACGGATATGATAGGTTCGCCAAGATTTTTCAAAAGCATCGAAAAAACGTTTTGAACCCCTTAAAGTATATTGATTTGTAGCCATTTTGACGAGTTGTGTTCATTTAGACATATCTGTTTGTCCAGCTACCTATTTTAGTATATGAACCATTCACTCACGATTTGAATTATTCAAATGAAACTTTGCACATACGCTTTCCGAGAGAAGGCCTCACTCACTTTTCGAGTTAAGCCAGACCTATGGAAACTATAGTTTCATATTAACTGAACAATTGGACAAAAATTTCATTTTATTTTGTTTAATATGGTCAAATAAATTTTGATGCAGATATATTCATGAAAGGAAATGTACAAAATTTCATTGATATCGGTTTATACACTAAATAGATTTCGTTAAAGAACCTAACAAATAAATAAATAACAAATCCTCATAAATAATGAAAACTTTGTCTATTAAGAGTAAAATATTGAGAAAGAATGTGCCCTGATATTTTGATGTTGGTTTTACAAAAATAATGGAAATCAGTATCGATAGAAACTAATTTTTTAGGAAATATCACAAGTTGTAGTGACCTATAAAATATTCTGATTTAGTCTATCCTTATGCTTCTTTTCTGACATATGTTCTCACTTTCAATTTGCCACCAGAAATAACCAGCAAGAAAAAACTTATATGAGGTATAAAAATGTTAATTTATTAGTATAATTTCTTATAATCTTTACTAATATTATTTACAATATTTCAGTGTAATAATTAGATTAATAGGGGCTTATAAGATACGTTGTGTTGTTTCCTGACATTGTTTCAACAAAACATATTATAATTCTTGTAATTCTCTCCTAAAAGACGCATATTCTGACATTTGTTACTGGACAACACTGCTTTGTCTAAGTCATGAGGTACAGATAGCATCGGCTCTCATGATGGAATATGATCCGACATATTGGTTTTCTTCTCACTCCCAATTTTATAATTTGCATTGAATACAAAAATAATTTTGCTCATGCCGTGCCCGTGACACTCTACATGGCTCTTAGAGCCATGTGATACTCTACAGAATATGGTTCTTAGCGCTATGTGACACATAACCTGACCCCTAGATGAGCAAAAATTTATAAGGAAAATAGCAGATTCTATTCGAATTTTATAAATTGCGATTCTATAAAGATATATAGACCATGTCGCAAAAATTAATTACAGAGTTGTAATAAATATAATCTGTTTCGGTGCTAATGGTGATTTGTTTAGAAAAGATGTAAAAATCTGGGAGCAAAATGTCAATAGCGATGGGGTGGAGAAGAGTTATAAGAAAAGCCAACATGGTTTCACTTGCTTAGGAATGCATAGGAAGAATATATTCTTTTATGAAAAACAATTGAAACACATTTTAAGAATTTGCAAGATCCCGAAATTTGATTTTATTAAACACAAAATTTATTGAATGAATTAATTTCGTTGCTTGTTTTCTCATAATTGTGCTTAACATTAAGGAAATAAGTTAGGTTTTATATTTAATCTGCCACAATTTTTTTCGGATTTTCACGCACATGATAATAATATTGAAAACAGTCTCTGCGTATGTTAAAACGCGTCTCATAGAATAACACTAGCAGATTTTGCTTGAACCACTTATAAGTATCTTTATCAAACGTGACAATACCTAGCACATCGATTGAGTAACACAGAGCACCTTCTACCACCACTTCAGGTATGAATTCCACAGCAATGTGCTTGACCTTATGCTTTGTAGAGGCAATACTATAATAAAAAGTCTTAATGGAATGTAAACCCCTGTAGGTTTTCTCAAGAAATTTAAGAGTTGAGGTCTCATTGTAACAATTAAAGAGACGCTACAAAAATAAGATACAAATATAATTAATAAATAAAAATTTTAATATTTAAGAATTTACCTCACGATCCTCGTCCATAAATTTATAGAACATAAAAACATATATGTCTGATCGACGTACACACTTCGCCCACTTCTCAAATTTTGGCTATAAACACAATTAACAATACCATATATGAAGTTTATTCAAAAATTTAGGATGATTGAAGATTTTATAAACTATTTAAATATTTAAATTATAAATATGATTTCAAGATTACCCCATATAGACGTTCGAACTGGGCTTGTTCAGCACTATCTGAGTACATATCTGAATATTCTTTAACAGCAGGAGCAACATCTACAAAATATAGAATCAAATTTGAAATTGAAATTGATGTAATTTTCAGTGTTTGAATATATTTTGTATAGAGCCTTGGTAACTACCTTGTATTGGGTCACTATATTTAAATCGGCTACTAGTAATCGAAAAGCTTGTATGGATGAAGTACACAGAAAAAGTTTGCTCAAACCACTGTTCATTATCTTCGTTTCCCAAGACACGAACTGTACCGCGCACAACTATTATATGTTTTAATCCATCCCATTCGTCAGGTACCAAGGTAGTGATACGCGCTACTAAGAATCTCATTCTTGGGAGATTTGCATATAAAGAAGTGAACTTGATTTTACCGTGGTAAAGTGTGTAATCAAAGGCAACAAACGCTTTCTTGTGATAATAGTCTACAACCTGCTAAATATTAATAATAAAATAATAAATGTTAGTAAGAAATGAAAGAATTTGAGATAAAATTACTAACCATTGGGTGTTTGTTAAACGAGGCATAAAAACGGAACACCATATTATTCGATTTTAGTAAAGATTCTTCAAATTGTGTGAACGTTAACTAAAAATATTTACGAAATATATTGCAATAGAATATTAGTATTGAATTATTATGCTTGTAAAAGTTGTAACACTGAAGAAGTTTTTATATCCAATAATTTGATCCTAATCAGTAGAGTCATACAACTGTTTCAGATACCGCCAAATATTTATCTGGTGGTATCTGATAGATTTTAAGTACAACCGATTTCATTTGTAAAAAGTAAGCTGAAATGTTCTATTAATTACTTTCAAAATGCACAACATTTCAGACTCGGTCACTCACACATCCGGAGATATGACTATATGTCTAAAACTCCCGAGATAAACTCCTTTTTATAAAAGATTAAAAAGATTATCAGATTAAAAAATGAACTTCTTGTGAGATATATGACCTATAAGCGCTTTTTAATTTTATACACACGAAAAAGTTATCGCTATTCTAGGCGCTATATGTAATCACATGATGCAGTATTTGAATAATGTAAGAAAAAAGTGAGTTTTTTTTAAAACAACTCGAAAACTTTGAAAGTATAAATAAAAATAATTTTTTTTTTAATAACTAATATGTTAAGTTCGTATCCTCTTCTCTCTGCAATAATTTTCATAAATGATAAATTTTTCCTATTCAAACAACTATCGTTACATTGCTACTGATCACTTCACGCCTTCTAGACTCTGGCTTACAGTGACAAATCCGAAGTTCGTCCATAGTCCTTCACCGAAGTAAAATTTACATTTCACTCCACATTATATGATCTGCTGTCGCTACAGTTTCCACTAAAAATGTGATAAGAAAAAGGATTTCTGCCTTCACAGATACATATGTAGTGCATTTGAAGTAAAAAACTTAAGTTCATAAAAAATATCAATGTAAATATTGTGGAAACAGAATTACTTCTTAACCAAGAAGAAAATAAGGGACCTGCAAGTAACGCAAACTATCAAGTAATCACTAATTTTGATGGAGCATTGTCGCCAGAACACTATATATTCCAATAGCAGACAAGAGACATTTGGACATAACAATCAGATAGTCATGAAGAAATCTAATCATGTTCGGAGCTTCATTTCAAATTTAGATAAAGTTCTTTAAATGTAAATAATTAAGATAATAAAAAATATATCACAAAATTGAATTTCAAACAATCTATATTAATAGTTGGATCTCTTGCTAAGGATGTAATCGAAAGGCCAGCGCTGAACCAGCGCTCAACTCAACTCAACTCAACAGTAACAAAAGCAATAATACTAAATTTGTACTAGTCTCAGTATGAAGGAGAATATAATTGAATTGTAAATGTATATAATATGGTAGTTCCACATATAGTGTCACATAAAATAGAAATATATAGAATATCAAACTTAAGACTAAGATAGAAACACACCATTAAATCATTCTATAATAATGCTATTTTGCTAGCGAACATACCTTAATTTTTGGTATAAGTACAGGATTGAAGTATACTAATTCTTCATAAACGATTCTACATCTATCTTCGTACTCAGCAATTATGAATCTATGACGGAACCATTTGGAAGCCTCCTCTCCAATTTCGAGTGTACCAGTAACTCTAACCTCGTACGCAAAACCGCACAATGTAATGACTTCATTTGTTAATTTGCAAACTACTCGGAGTATTTGATATTCAGTTTTTGGCAGATTTAAGTAAAAATACGCAATGGAGAACACACCATCAAATTTTTGTGAATCAAAAATCAAAGAACAGCTCTTGTCATATAAAGAAGGGATTCGCTAAGATTATCATAAATTAAATTATTCGTTTGGTTGCAAAATTTGATCTTTATAGACTTACTGTTCGATCTCCCTTCATGCAGCTATAGAATTGAAGTACAATTTCCTGCGAACGACGAGTGCATTTCTCAAACTCATCCATCGAATACTAAAAGTAAAAGTTAATGAGATATGACACATAAGCAGTCGTAATTAAATACATAAACAATTAAGAAATTATGTGAATTTACTAAGAACTATAGAATTAATGGTAAACATACTTCTACAATATTCTCTAAACCTGAAGTAAAGCACATGTCATCAAAATAATTGATGTTATCAAAAATTGGATAAATTGGATAAATTAGATAAATTGGATTTTCATGAAGCTTATATTCGCATTCGATTTTATGTTCCATTTCATAGTGAGAAGAATGTTCAGAAATTGTATCGTCCGAAGACGACACACTATACACCTCATCCTTATCACTTAATATTTCACAATCTGACGAAGTGCTATTTACATCTTCATATTCATTGTCAGAATCTTCTCTTTTAATTTCATTTGGCGTTACGATGTACTTCGGCGAATTGTGCCCCATCTTAACATTATCATTTCGAAAGGGCCTTTCGACACTCTTATCACTCATTTTCATGTCACTGAGTATTTCGTACTCCGGAAGTTCATTTTTAACCAAAGGTGAACCTTCTATACCATTTACTTCAATAGTTTGCAATGAATGATGAAGATTGCTCGAAGGTGCGTCTTCAATTTTGAATTTTTTCGCGATTTTATATTTTTTATTCATGACTTTTTTTGCGTTCAAATCCCAACTCACCGCTATGAAAGACAAAATTGAAGCAAACTATATACCATACTTTTGACAGATTAGTGTCTCTCGATTTATTTTAATTTTCACAATGATTACTTTTTTAATTAGTTTTCATTGCATGTTTTATACTTGTCATTTTGACCAATCTTTGCTTTATATATAATATACATATATAAAAATATTTGGGAAATATGAGTAATAATTCTTTTTTTTAATTGAACTCCTTTCATACCGTACATCCAAGATATATTTATGACTGATTCAAGAACTATCTGTATTATATTAACATAGTAAATAAATAAGTAAATAAATTATTTACTTTGAAAATTTTTCGAATTCTTAGACATCAGTTTTTGTGAGTTATCCGAGATCCTCTAAAGGGAATTTCCATAAATTGTATCCATGTTTATTGCAAGAACTGAACATTTTCACAATAGTTGGGGGTTTGATTATGCTGTATTTCCTTCTTGGCATAAGACACAAAAGTCTCACACTAATAATAGACTAATAATAGACTAATAGACTAGTATGTAAATGAATATCGTTCATTTGTCATTTAGATATATGTTGATTTCTTTAAGAATATGGACTTCGTATAGAAAATGGCACTTAGGACCTGTTCCAAAGAAATATTTGAAAACAAAAATTATTTAATTAAAAGCAGTTTCTGACAGCAATGCAGTCTGTATAAAATACTCAAACACAACATTGAGTTTAAATTCCAATAGATCCAGTGCTCAATAATAGAACCAGTGTAACATTAATACATCTTATAATGACAGACCGATGTTAGATAATATCTTGCTCTAGAGTAATAATCGGTTGAGCAAAGTAATCGGTAATCAGAACTGGGAAATAAAAGTTTACTCAAACAACTGTTAATGTGAATCTTTTTATTGTTATATTTATTGTACCCGCACATATAATACAATCTAAACATATTTTTGAGTTTTTCGAATAATAATCTGTTAAATAATTTATACCATATGTATGTATTTGTATTCCTAAATGCTTGTCCTTATGTTAAGCAAATGTTACAGCACCCAGGGTAGTTGAGCATGACATTTAGGCAATTACTTAAATGATGGTTCATGGAGCACAGAAGAGAAAGGGATGGATATAGTACAAAGAGAAAGTTGTTTCATTTGTAGCCAAAAATATTTCTTTATAATATTTGCAATATGAAGACAATATTAAATTACAGAGACTATTGAAAACTAGAAACATAATAAATAAAAAATAAATAATAGATTAGGTATAACCTAATTTTTTTTTATATAAGTGGAATGCAGCGAAACCCATAGTGTGACACTTGAGGTCACTAAAAGCACCTCTTTGGAATGAATTGAGAAGATCCCAGCCATCAAAAAGACTTTCGGTTGAAATCATATTCCAGTAATGAAAGGGTTTATTAAAATAGGTATAAATTAAGGTGTAAAATTAGTTATAACTTTAAAAGACGTTTTGCATTTCTTGTGAATGATTATCATAATTACAGAATATATCACCTAATATAACAAAAATTACCTTAGTAAAAAGTATGAAATATTAAAAAATGTGAGAAATATCAAATTAGCGAAAGGGATAAACGTTTTTATTCGATATTTTAAATAAATTAATTGATTTATTTAAAATTGAAGGATTTTTTTTCGATTTGTCTCTTTCGATTGAAAGAATTATATGTCGTTTTGTGTACGTCATACTCATTAAGTATTTAAGAAATCAAAATAAATGATTATTTTATGCTTCAATGATGGATGGACTCTAACCTACTAACTATCGGCTCTATTTTCATATTTTTTTATTAATTTATTCAATTGCGAATAGTTAAAACGAAAACTCGTTAACAATATTTGCACATCGAGGACTTGAAATAGTCGATATTAATCTTTATCTTTAACATTTCGATTAGCATGATAAAGTTTAATATCTTTCCTAAGTGATTTCTGCTTGTTATTTCAACAGTTTAGACAGGTGATAACAATCCATAATAAATTTTTGAATAATCGGCGTTGACTATTGTATCTGAATGGTAAATTCTCAAATTAACATGCACCGACTTTGCTGGCGTAGTAATGTCAGGAGCATAAATTAAGATGCTCCAACGAAAAAAGTATTCGAAGCAGTTGTTGGGAAAAGAAGGCGTTGAGGTAGACCGGTTCTATGTTAGAGTGATGGAGTTGAGGAACCACTTAGCGCACATAGCAGAGGCGCCTGGAGAGACATGTTGCGTCAGGCCGAAGCTGGGTAACGGATTATTATTGCTAAATTAGTATGTAAGTAAGTATTTAATGTACATTGATGGTAGTGCTAAGAAAGGCCGTTAAACTGGCTAAAGATAACTGAATCATGTAGATGTCTAAAAACAACATTAAAGTTGTGCACAATTCTTTCCTGTTTAAAAGAACTTTCTTCAACGAATGTTAACTTTGACAGTTTTTTTTATTAATGTTAAATATTGAATGTAAAATGACGCAGAAACATTATTTTGTGTTGAAAAAACACAACAGTAAAGCTTTTTATTGATTTGAATTGAACGACTGCAATTACCAAAAATATCAAAAAAATTTTTAGCCCGCCATTCCATATTGTCTTTGAAATCTATGATTTGATTTGAAAAAAACGCTTCGGATCTGTATGATAATTTTAAAATGGAGGTTCAATGCAAATGGTATTAAAATTGGTGTTAAAATTTGGTTTGGTGTTACTTTTTATTCTTAAAGAAAAAAATCAGTTTCATACAACAAAAAAGATATTTGAAATGTAACATGTAATACAAATTAATATGGAAGAAGAGGAAGAATTGTTTCAAAGGCTGTCTTACAACATTTCGTGTTGTCACAAACATCATTACTTGTGCTGAAGAGGGATTTGGGATGCAATTCCATTAGCCTGATCTAACCAATCTTGCTGCAATAACTCTTATTGTATTTTTGTTTTTAAATTACAATGTACATCTCCCTCGAAGACGTTAACAGCGTCAAGAAAATAACATATCATTATAAGATGAACTCATAAAAAACTTCTTCATCATCAGGGGACAGAAACGATCTATCTGAGTGTTTTTCTCAAAAAAGTGTTGTTAAGTTTAACAAACCTAACATATTTTAGCTCGCTTGTAATCACGCTTATGCAGCAAATAAATATTGTAAATATTTACGTTTATAAGTTCAATAACTTCACATATTGTATTTATGCTTATGCAGCAATATGTGAAATTTAAATTATTATTTTAGTCACCAATAATTGTAATTATTATTATGCTTAGTAAGTAATTCTATACTATATAAGGTAACAATATTAATAATAAAATTTGAAAGCGAAAACAATCGTCTTTACTTCACAATCAAAAATTGGTTATTGGTAGATGTGCCTTTTAACCACTGTAGAAACAAAATAAAAATTATTTACTTACTTGGCTAGCGGTTTATGTGCCTGCAAGCCTTTCATCTTAACTACCTGATTATTGGTTTATGTGCCTAATAGTCAGTGTAACAAAGTAAGCAAATACAGACATTGATACCACCTCAGATTACGTGGTATACAAGTGTAGTACTGTTATATCAACTGTTTAAAATATTCTTTAAAATCAATAAGATTTACTACAATTTTTAAACAAATTTTATAATTTGATCAAAATTCTGACAGTAACTAAAATTGCTTTTTACACAATATTATACAAGCTTAAACCACTACACAAAACTGTGTACAACGTTGTGTACCAAATTTGTAACGATGCACGTACGTATGCGACCCCACACATCATCAATAGCTTTTAATGAAAACGCAATGCAACGCAACGCAAGCAACGCAACGCAACGCAGCAACGCAACGCAATACCGCATCGCAGTATGTGTTGCATTGTAGAGTAAAACGTTGCAGTAGCTCTGAGAATATTGCATTGTAGTACGTGGGCGTGTTCGGGGAGTTACGTTTGCACGCTTGCAAACGCACAAATAAACTCAAAGTGCATTGCTGATTATTGCAATTGCATCAGAATCGGTTTCTTGAAAAAATTTCAATATTTTGAAATTGGAAGCTTGCGCTTGCAATACTGTGGTGTTCGCTTCCTTCCCTTGTACATCCTCTCCTTGACTTTTTAATACATATGCAAGTGTGTGCATGACTTTTAAGTATAAATGTTTGCTGGTGTTCTTGTATGTTCCGTGCAACATTGATTGAAAATTATTGATGTGCTTTTCTTCACTTAAATTTCGTTGCAAACGTGAGTGCAGTTGTTATTGTTGTTGTTGTCGAGAGTGCGACAATGATAAATAGGTGATAAATTGGTCAATATACATAGGGGAGGAACTTCTACTCCATTTTTGTACTTCTGCTTTATGCTTATACGAGTACTAGTATTGCCTTAAACAACTGGCAAACACTGCCTTTGCAGAAACATTCTCAACAGTTAATTACGCCAAATATTTCCAAATGAGTTTTGATGAATGTTTGATAAGTCGGTGAGAAGTTTTAAAATATGTTTCAAATTATGTTAAATAGTCTAGCAGTACTTGTAATCTAGTCTAAATAAATTGTTTCTCAAACATAGAAGTTTTTTTTTTTTTTTTTTTTTTTTTTTTTTTTTTTTTTTTTTGAAACACAATATGTACAATAATATAAATACATGTTTCATTTGACTACGACTAGTTCATACAAGAACTATCAAGCAGTTTTGTTACATTTCAGTATACTTATTAAAATTGTGAAGTTGTCAAAGACTTAGTGTTAATAGTAGTAATCTAAATTATTATTAGACTACTAATTCGGGAGTAGATCTGAAGGCTTTATTCGTTTAAGTCTTCTCAGCAGGCCAGATGTATTAGACAGATGGTTGACTGTCTCGTTTGTATGCTGTTGTAATCGTTTTTGGTGCTTTACCGCGAACTTCTGGATTACTGCAGCCACAGATTCGATCTTCAAGTCCCGATGGAGGTCAGTATTCCTAATAAACCACGGAGCGTTGACTAAGTTTCTTAAGACTTTGTTTTGAAAGTTTTGA